TTTCTCCTCCATAGGGGAGCTCATGAGTTTTGCTACACTTTGCGTTAGCTGTGTCCGCTCAAAGTTCTCTTGGTACCCGTCGCTTGTTCTTACCTCCTGATGTCTGAACGATTCCGTAATATCGAAAAAAAGGAGATAGAATTCTATATAATCGAAAAGACGCTTACCCATCTATATGGTACATAGCTGGTATTAAACATATGTGAGTATTATTTATTTAATTCAATGTTCTTCGTGTAGCCGAGTTGTTGGCCATTATTTCAGTCTGGCCTGTTCGAGAACAACAGAAAGTGACAAGATTTAAGCTACTTTGTGTTTTTACATTTCGCGAATTATCGCTGCGTTACTGCGGAAGAAGTTATGTGATCAGGCACAAATGCTGCCTAAAATCCAGGCGACGATATAAAAATACAACGAAATGGATAGAAAAAGTTATCTCCATTATTGATATACTAACATTTCTTAGCGATGAAATTTAAGGTAGAGCCTGTGTATGAGTAAGAACACCTAGGTAGTGAGTGAGTTCTGAAAAATCCCTCTGCTGTCTAATAGATCGTTTTCATCTAATGAATGCTCCACAAGTAGACGAAGTTACAAACCCAGAACCAAAAAAGGGGTCAAACAAAAATGAAGTGTGGAGTAAATAGAACAATATAGATTTTCACTTCTGTTTTCTTTATATGTTAATATTGGACACTTCTATAAAACGCAGAGTCGAAAAAAAGAGAAGGCGCGAGCTAAATAATTGACGGATATCTTAACGCGGTTTTTACATAGGTAATATAGTAAAAAATGAAGTGTTACCTGTCAAAAACTAGATGTGATTAGATAGGAACTAACTACATGTCTACTTGCTTCGTTCTTGTAAAAACAGCGCTAGGAACAATAAAAAAAAAAGTCGAAAGGATGATACTTCGGTAAAATATTATTCTAGGAATCATCGCCCTTGATCTTTATCTACGTATTTGAAAATCAAGCGATTTATCGTATCTGTGCTGCGTTTTTTTAGATTAAAAAGGATTATTAAACACATACCTGCGCACGGCCTATATGAGTATACAGACACGTAGTGTTACCGTATAAATCTGCATACTCTAACGAACGTAATTAATAAACGTATCATAAAAAAAAAAAGGGCCAGTTCTGAAAGATGATAAATGAGCGAATGATCTGTTTAATAGATTTGATCTTTTCGAGATGAAACCAATGGAAAGGCGAGCATAAAATCCGTCGGTATGACACAGAGCTCATTCGTACATGGCATTCTGTGCACTTTTTTAAATCGCAACTGCAATTGATAAGAAACTGTATGAAGATAATAGAACGTGCGTATGGCATGGGATGAACCCGCCTCATCACCGAGGCTACGTCGTCGTCGTTTTTCATTGTTCGTTGCCGTCTGGTTTACGTCAGAGAAACGTACGCGAATACATCGGACGTAAAATGTTCTAAAATAAAGGGATTTAAGAAGCAAGCAGGCTTTCGAAATGGTCGAGCTACCAGGAAATACGCGTACATTTATATGGGGACTCTACTGTCGGCCAGAAACGGGATTGTCACATTGAAACAAGCGACGCGGGATCATCAACAAAAGAAAAGCAGCAATATGTCAAAAGGCCTGAGTGCCCGTGTTTTGGGTCTCTGCGGTACAGGGTAGGATTATACGGAACCATAGGGGGACGGGCGGGCGATGGAAAAGTCCGTTCATCTTTGAGCTGCGCCAGATAGCTAGTGAGCGTGTTCATGGCACAGGAGAGCCAGCTGATAAATATCAAAGATCATCAGAGTACTCGGGAATACCTGACGAGCTTCATGACTTAGTCGCTGCTATTTCCCTTATAGTCATTTCTGCTTGAGGTAAAATCAAAAGTGGAAAAAGAGTAGTTTTAAGCGTCCCGACATCAAGCATAACACGCATGCTAGCATGAGCACCAGGTCAGTGCTTCATTTGCATCGGAGAATATATCTGACCGAATTCGGTCGTGTGAGCGATACTTTCGCCGGCCAAAATCGTCGATGCTTTGTTGCGCTCCAGCTTGATCGATCGATCTGATGCCGGCTCAACTCTACGAGACCGCTTCGGGATACACATTTGGAATGGGTCTGCTGACATGAAACTGAACGCAACTGGCGTATAAACACAATACAGACAGATAAGGAGAACAACCGTCACTTTGGGTTTCCTTCTATTTATTATTATTTTGCCGTAGTTAAGAGTATAGCGAGCTTCGTCTGGGACGCTGTCAGATTTATCATAGAATAGATAAAGGAAAGTGCGAATGCAAAAGCAAACGGTAGAAACAAAATTTGCGTTATGCGAACGCGATAATCAAGGTTAGATTTCAGTGGAAATGAAAGTGAAGAATCTTATCTAGCTTTGCAGCGATGATTTTACTTGTCTAATAAAAATTCATCAGTAATTTGGAGTAGTGTATTTAAAAGGTGTTGATTTGTTGGGAGTTGGGTTGGGAATTGGCATTTTTACTACGCAATGCGGCCGTCATCTCCTTTTCTATACGAAAAAAGAATTATTAATTAATGTTATGTTATTGAATCTGAATGTCATTTGTGTTCGTATGTCTTAATTTTATGATAATAAGGATAGATAGGGAATTATTTAAGTGTTACCTAAAAAGTGAGGTCTTTGAGGGCCCAGTTAAGGTCATAAAAGATGTTTCATATTCATTAACACTATTGAGACACTGCAACAATTTCTCAGAGGTATCTCGTTCGGTCGGTCAAAATGGATAAAAGATTACTAAAGCAACAAGTTCCTTATCAAATAGTATTTTAATCGCACTTATGTAACACTTAAGCAGAGTTACATTGACTCCAATCTATCTCAGGCCACAAACGTAAAGCAAGATAATGTTGTTTTGTACGTAGGCAAAACGTAAGTACGTAGATGTCACTAGCCAAGCCGTTAGAATTAGTAAGGCTCGACAATGGTCGTTTCTCATATGGACTCGGACTATGTGTTCCTTGACAAACAGACATAATAATATGTAGAATAATATATTTGTTCCTACAAGATTTCGTCCGCGTGGATTTACTTAATTAAAGGTAGCCGAGGCCAGCCGACCAGCCATTCATTGTATTCTACACAAACCAGCCGGGTGCCATAAGTTCTTTCCCGCGATCATTAGCACTCCGATGACGCTTACTTCAAAATTTTTGTCTGTAGCGGTGGACGACGGTCGTTTTAACGCGCTGATACAACGTTTACCTGTTACTCGCTTCCTGCGTTCGTCAGATTAGCCAATAATTTTCTTTTCTGCAATTCTCATTGAGATGTGTGCCCACATATTTAGTATTCCTCGGCTGTCGGCAAACGGTGCAAAAAGTTTTGTCTGTCCGTGGTCGTTTCTGCTCTCCGCGTGCTGATCCGGAACACTGCCAATAATCAATATGCGAACTCCCCTATATATATGTTTTGATCTGTCTGCCTATTTTTGTTGTCTCGATGTCCATATCGGTGTGCGTGCCTCTGTTAATGTGTTAGCGACACTATAGAAATCAACGTCGATAGAGAAAAACGCTATCTACCTCTAAATCAGCACTGCATTGTTAGTAAGCAGCGTATCTGCTATCAGGTTAAACGTGGAGGACTGTGCAATATTTTCTGTTATTTGTACCAAAAATAACACGAAACCATCCTAATTATTGCGAGAGTGTTGCACTGTTTTTTGTACGGATTCTGGTTGGCCTTTGGCCTTAAACATTTTGACGACGTTCCTGGTTTCAGGGGGCCGGTCCCGCGTTTCATAGATGTACGTGGATTAGGAAAGGGTCTAGCGGAAACAGGCACCAGTGACAATCGGCATACTAAAGACTGGAATCGGAATAAAAGCATAAGGATAATAATATTGTCAACAACCACATTAATGTCAACAGTAAATTGTGTGACAGATTGATCTGACTGTGACGGCGAGGTGGTTCTATAGCGATTCGTAATCAGAGGAACGCTGCACACTGACGCTCTGACGACGAAAGACACAACGATAACAATAGATCTAGCGATAAATTTTTTTTGCACAGCCAACAGCTGATTTACCATTTTGTGCATGGTCACTTTCTAATAACGGAGAGTCAGGACAAAAAAGCAGTTCTACGGCCACGGCCGGAAGAACGATTCGAAAATAGCAGCGACGATTATTCCTGACTTGACAGTAAATCCAAACAGAGTATACTGAGAACAAGAATTTCTACGTTCCTTGGCCACGGATTAATTGCCTATTCCTGTCATTGTACATGCACAAACTGTAATTCATGTGGACAGCCGTCTACACGAAAGGTCTACGCAAGGTAAACATCTACAAACGATACGCGACTAGTACAACGACCACTAAGTAACTGATCGCTTTCGTGCTAACAATCAAATGTTTATACGAACACATAAATAGGTTCCTGGTCCCTTCTCTCGTTACGAGATCGTAGCGGTACTGGAAGCCGAGTTTCGCGTTTTTACGGAGAGTCGTTTTTGATTTTTTTCGTCTTTATAGCATAGCTGATGCAACTTGGTTAACATCGACTACTGCCATATAGATAGGCTGGAATAGTTGTAATACCATGATAAGGCTAAGTGACTCTCTGGAAGTATTAGAATGGCTAATGAAGCGGGTACTTCAATATAGGTAGATATGTTAAATGTATCTTCGCAAATATATTCACGCGTTCCATAAATAGTAACCCTATAGAATCCACACGATTGACCGAAGATAAGCCTGTAGTTGTACTTACTCCCGTTGAGATGTCACCGGACAACTTCGTCCCGGTCCTTCGCCATTAATAGGCTCCAATTAAAGCTGACCTCGCTCGTACATTCGATTTTTTTTTCAGAAAGCGACAAAGTCTACTGGATATACTCAAAGAAGCCGTGATAAACTCTATTTGTCGAGAGAAAAAAAATCGTCGCGAGCTACCGTCAATCACGAGGTCAACTTAAGTAAGCGTTCTGTTAACGGCTTCATTGAAATCTATCACGCAGGGAGTCGACTCACTTGAAGTAGGTATTGGTCGAAGCGTGGGCGACGTGCCAGCCTCCGCCGTGAATCGCTGTTAGAATGGAAGCTCCAACTGCCAATGAGACTGTCACACACAGTACAGTTGTGATACGCTCCTTGCGGATACCTGCAAAAGAAAACAGTCACCGGATAGAAAAACAGGTACAATTATTGTTACATAATATCAAATCCGTCTAGTTACGGAACGAACTAATCAATTGTCGTATCATACACATCGAAAACAAACGATTTTAAGCGACGGCTGAAAGCTTGCGTTACTAATTTTTTTTTTTTTTAATAAAAACAACCCAATTTCTGGTCACCGATATTATGTTCGTCATGTTTTTATCAAGTATTGTCCTTTTCTGTATTCCACTGGATCTTATCCACTTAGTATTAGCATGCAGTTTAGCTAAAACTGGGATCGAACGTTTTATCCTACGAGAGCTTTATAAGATCAGAGAATTATCCATTATTCTAAACTCTAAAAGTCCGCTTTAGATAGATCCGATGATCAGTATAGGGCGTCTGTTTATTACATAGGTGAATATCAGTCACTTTTAAAGTACTTGACACTCCATGATCTTAGTGCTTCTCGACAGCTAGAACGAAGTAAAAATTTACAGTGTCTGTATAACCTTCGAGCGTATATATGACGACGTATATATAACGGTGTCGTGTAGACCTTCAACCGACAATTTGTCATAACAAATAGTCCGGAATAGTCTTCTTTCCCACCAAACCTAGATAAATCTATATGCGATCGCAGCAATCAAGGAGCGATTAGCGGCGCACAGGAAACGAACACTTAGTAACATATACGTCAACGTGTATGAGAAAAGGTGCAATGGTAAACAGAAAGGGATTTTGAAAATTGTTTCTATCATCAACACAGTAAGGAAGCTGCGTGTTATAGAGGAAGAAAGACATGGTTTTGTGACAAAATTCACTGAAACAGTATCAGGTTAAAACAGATCTAGGGGCTGTTCTCGATATTTCACGAACATCTTTATATTTAGGTTTTCTTTGTATTTTATTTTTTTCTCAAACAAAAAAAGTACTACTGTCGGCGGTAAATTTTAGTGAGAAATATATTATTTTATTTTAGGCTACTAGCGAGAAACAAAGCTATAAATTGTCTTATACATAGAACTCGATGAACGAAGGTCACACGGCTCGCGAGGGTTCGCGAACGTTATCCTTTCTTAGACAGCGGTAATAACTGTAGTAGATTAGCATGGTGTTGCTAGAGAAGTTATGACCATAGAGGCCTATCAACAATTTGATTTCTGTTTGATAACTCTGTGTACTTCGGTGGCATATCTGTAAATCGATATTAGGGTCTTCAGACGATTCAGATCAATATTACCTAACTTCCAAATCGAACTATAGTAGTAAGTATACAAGTGATACATGTTTCACATGCAACTAAACGTTAATTAACATGCGCGCATTATTTTATCATGAATATGGCCCCAGTAGTTATTATTCGATATTATCGAATATGCCCTCATTAATAAGCCCTCACCCCTGGAACACTTGTCTAAGAACTATCGCTCCGATCGTCTACGTATAATCGGAGCTCATAATAGTGCTTCGCTGATATCAGCTGCATGCTATAAAAAGTTGCAGTAAGCAATCGTGACCTTAGCAGTGAAAGCTGGCCAGAGGCGTCTCAATGACCTAAATATCTTTGTTTTTTACACCCATTCGTAGCCTATGGGAGCCAGAACAGCACGTGGGAGTTAATCACAACGCACTTAGTCCCTGTAATAGCACGATGGGTAATAGGTTTACCGGCTACACATAAAAATAGATGAGGCGGTCCAGGTCCGAATCTGGGTGTCAATACACTTCATTTCGTGCTGAGAGCGGCCGGCCGTCTAATGGGACGCCCAAAGGTGTAAGTACCGGACGTAAAATATGCAAAAACAAATTAAATATAGCATATTTTACTTCATACATTACATAAATATCTGATACGTACCCTTGGTTTAGCTGAGCGGGAGCACGACATTGTCTGACTTGTTATGATATTTTTTAAAGCGCGATTTCTGCTTTTTACGTTTTCGAAATCGGCACCATTCAGTGAAGGTGAATTACGTGTTTTTTTTTTGAGTTTTTATGGCAATACGTCAATTTTTCTATATGTCTATTTTCACGATTATAGATCTAATGTACGGATTGTTCTAGGAAATGCCGCGACAGGGTCAAACGGCACGCAAAATCCCTTGTATAAATATAAGTGCATTTCGTATATGCATATCTATACATATGTATGAGTGAACACACATACAAACCTGCCTGATGGTAGGTAGCTGGTAAAGAGTGCTAAATTTATGTATATGATTGCAAAGATTTTCTGTTCGTAGCACTTCTCGTCAGGGCAGCGTTTTGGCCACAAATTTTAATTGGTACGGCTTACCAACGTAAGCCTGACTCATCGTAAGGCTTAACCTTCGGGCGATAACGTCAGACCCGCGTGATACCAACGCTAACGAACAATGGTTAAATAGCTGACCGACTGCGCATTGTACCTTTTACGCCCCTTGAGATGACCGCCTTAAAGAAAATTCTAAGCCGACTTATGGCCAACAGGTTTTTTTTTTTCTAGTTTCTACTTAACGAAAGTATAATTGATAATAGGCGAACCTGCTACTGTAATCAAAAGTATTGTGTTAATTTAAATTGTTTAAAAATTTAAGATGCACTATGTAAAAAGGACGCATAACATTTAAGCTAAAATTAGTTAAGATGCCAATTGCTCCGTACCAAAGGCCAGATTAGATTAGAGTATATTACGCATATTATCCCTGTAAAGGCATGGGAACGAATACCTTATTTCACGAAGTCATCGAAATCAAGAGGTGAGACTATTTTTAATTAGCCCGCGTTGTTGACAGGAGGAGTTCGAACTAAACGGCGACAATTTATAACATATTTCTATTTACTTAGACATTATCATCGTAGATGATTCATTTTTCATCAACCGCCTTAGGACAGCTTAATTTCGTTGCGTTGCTGAGGAGTTTCGCTATGATACGATATTTTCTAACATCTAAATGTCGGCTTTCTTTGTAGCTCGTTCCATTGTTTTTAAGCTTTTTAGCGGTCAATATCGAGCTTTTCGACATTATTCCGGGTACTCAGCTAGCTCAATGTTAGCGAAAAGTTCATCAGCGTTTTTTGTATTCGGTCTACCGCTACGAGTAAAGAGCGTGTTTACATCGAACGAAAGCGACAAAGCCATCCATAGGCCATTCGTCCCGATAAAGCATCCTAACCACTAGCGTAATTATATATATGTAACAGTTTTTCCATATTTAGGACCCTATTAAGAAAGTTCCATCATAAGGGTTCAATAAAATTAATTGCTAATACACAAACTATATCAGGCTAATCGGGGGCAGCGGCCTTAAGGAAGGTTAGCTCTCGTGTCTAGAGGTAAACGGCCTGTAAGCGTCAAGAGTTTCGCTTATCGTGCGTACATTGAGAAGCCTGTGTGAAACAAGTGATCATAAACTAGCATAACGTAAAAGTCTGCGCCATAGGCGTTCATATTTAAAGTATGCTATTGAAAACGATTGCCTCATATTACGACTGGGTACATTGGGACATTCCGAACCGTTAACTAGAAAGCTGACAGGCACGAAGTAAGTAAAGTAGTCACGCTGAGATATATACGCGGCGTGTCAGCAGTGCCGATAGCTAACGTACGTACAGATAGTTGTCAATTTCAAGTTACGTTTTAGAAGACTGTTCGAACTGCTTAACGACGCACATCGTATTCTCAAATTTCTGTGCGATCATAGAAACGTCTGGGCATTTATAAGGGCATGTTGTCAATCTGGTATACAAAAAAAAATTGGTGGTCAATCGAGGCCACAGTATGTGCAATGTGCCATTCTTACCCATTATTCCGACCACTTCATAAGAAAATTATTGGAAAACTTGGTCAACTTCCTGAAACAGCATATTTATTCAAGCTAGCCTCTCTATAGCTTTCTACAGATGGATGCGTGCGTCATCTTTTTATACCTGGATTAAAGAGACATGTAAATCGTCGAAAAACCAATATGGGTTATTATTAGATCAGATGGTGCAACCGTCGCTTCTGCCAGAACCCAGTTCCAACGACCCGTCGAAGTCAGCTGTACGTGTTACTTGGACCCTATAGGCATTTCACGCATTAAAATTATTATTCGCAGGGCCATTTTGCTAAGTAACGTAGACAGTTCATTCAACATCGTACGTACATGCTCTCGCTTCTTTTTTTTTTCTTTTTTTATTACCGTCTATAGTAAATCGGGCCTCTTTTTCTTTGATCAACCCATTCAAATCTCGCCTGCGTCCGTCGATCAGCCGCGTCGAAACTGCTACACTTACATCTTCGACTAAACCTGTTACTGCAATATTACGCAACAATAAAGCCAGTAGTCTACCCGGTACGTAGGAAACAACGACCTAGCACCAATGCATAGGATTGCTACGATACATTATAGATAGATGAAATTTAGTAGAACATTTATTTTACTATCGTCATTGAGTGCATTAGCATACACTTTGGCCATGTTTCTCAAGCGTATTTCTTTACGCGCTGCTTTTGATCGATCAATTAATGCTTGATAGCAAATTAGGTCAGCCGCTGCTGTACCAGATAAATCGATTTCGAACAATTGTAAACTTACCACTAGTTTTTTTTTGGTTCATCATTTGATTCTGCTTACATTTCACTGAAAATTAAGTACAGATAGATTTTGTTCTCTATAAAACATGTATATGTATATATACTTATATATATGACTGTAGTCTATGGTAGTAGAATCCCGTATTTTTAAAAAGAGCTCGACTGGAAAAGAAATGTTTTTCTGCTACCGATAAATACGCCACTTCAACTTTGGGTCTAATTTTTGCCTGTTGTATTAAAGCTGCGTAGAATGATCCCGGGCGAACTAAGCGAGTCATTGTTAGTCATGTGGGCAAACTTCCCTTATAGAACTCAAGTTCATAAACATTGGACTTTTTTTCAATGTGTCGACCCCAAGTTTACCATTGAATTTGCCTTCGGGACTATTCGATCGCCAATACACATATTAAAAAGCAATGTAAGTTCCCAGTATTCAATCATAGGCATTTTTTAGTAATCGCCATCACCATTATTATCGCCATAAAGCTTACTGCTTCAACATGTTCAACTGTTTCGGTATATGTGCTGGTATACATAGAGAGGCACCTGATCGCCGCGTTTCTCGTCGTCATTCCCCGAATAGGTCACCCATATAAGATAGAATTTTTTAAGCCATTTTATCACCCATCGTCACGTATGATTTATCTTAGGAAGGTCGATATATTTCATTAGATCACCAACAACAAACGAGTCGATAAAGGAATTATTCTATTATGTTGTACTAAATTCAATCTGCAATTGTCTCCACATCAGCAAAACGTACCAGAGCCAGCGGTAGAAACAACAGCTTTTATTCGTTCACTGCCGGGATTCCATTGATAGAAATGGACGCTGGCCTTCTTAACTTGAGTGTAGCGGGTTGGGTTGACCTTCGTTACTGAGCCACGTGGTTAATACATATCGCCTAACGCCCGCCAGCGCGAATCGTTTCGACGGTCGTGGTTATTCAGGCTACCGTAAGTTCACGCAACTGTCGTGACCAACCAGTACATATATACGTACAGCTAGTAGTAATGCCATTATAAACCGCTCAACAATAAGTGAAAAATTCAGTGAGCTGTTTCCTGTAGTGTTTCCGTTGAAGATGTCTGAATATCTAGCCAAAGACCTGCTCAAGTGGAAGTTGGAGCTGGGGCTGGAACCGACATCAGGCCATGGGACCTATGGCGGATTCGCTGCCACACCGTACGGACGAAACGAAGCTTACTGCTCTTAATGGACCCCTGGAGATGCTAACGCCACTGTCGACCGCTAACTCTGTTCTGTAAGGTGCTTTGTCCCTTAGAAGAAGCCTTGCACTACGCTGACCTAACAAGGCTTGAATAAAACGAACCAATTGGTGTTGCGGCGACAAACGGGGTAAAAGACGGCGGCAGAACAAGCGTATCCTGTAACGGCAACTGATGACCTATGGCATGTTTCGTTGTAAACGATTTGACTTTATCAATTCGTATGCCTTCGGTACTTCAGAAGCTATTGAAACTGAAGCTTTTTAATGTCAGAGAAAAAAACAAAGAGCTCAATTTGTTACTACAAACGATTGAAGAATATGAGGTTACGCTGGGAGAGTGTTTTGGCGGTCGATAACTTAAAGGTAGAGACATCGACGGGGCAATTTTGTAGGGACTCAATACAGTTTTCAAGAAAAACAAAAAAGCTTCTTAAGCAATACAGCCAGACAAAAATAATTGTTTTAGTATTGTATCTGTCAAATAAGTTGCTTACTTATAAAGCTGTTTGTTTTAGGGTTGATCTTTAGCTGGGTGCAATAGGGTGGCTCAGCATGGATTGTACATTGGCAGATATGTTGTGTTCATCGGTTAGTATTTTGTTTGTAGTAGTATGTAGCATGTAGTAGTATTTTGGAATTGATATTTTGTTATTTATTTCTATTATTAAATATACATGCGTATACGTTGATTACGGCCAGTACTCCTTACGTATGCATAGAGAGTTTATGATACTACCATATATAACGTTTAATCCTTTATTGTTTTCAGTGAGTTTTCAATTAGATACGCTTGTATAGATCCGTGCGCAGGTTTGAAAGGTTAGCGTTGTTTCCTTTTTACATGCCGAGAAGATCTGCGACGACCAGTGTAGCAATGGTTTAAAAGTAAATTTATTTTTCTGAGCAGCGTTCTATCGTTGCCCAACGGAGGAGCAGTTGTCCAGACACAGTCAATGGCTATATAAAGACATCGTTGGGCAAATTCCTGCAATATAACGTTGAAAATGTTCTTAGACTTGGTAGCCTGAGGTCTTCCCATGGACATGGAACACGGAAGCCGTTCATGAACACTCAGAGAGAGCAAAGACTAAATATTGTTTTTTCTGTATTTCGGTAATATTTCTAGAATTTCAAAGCAACAATATAGTGAAACGACGAAAAAAATACCAGTTTCACAGCGGAACTGGCCTAGTTAACTAGAAAGTAACTGAAGATACAGATTTCAACATCACTTCAAAATGCTCTATTGCCATATCTTTCAAGCCTGAATCGTTACGAATTTATATATAGATGGTTTACGCGCAGTCGAAACAACACTCAGATGTTATATTATGTTCTGTTTGATTTAAAAAAGATGGCCAATATGCTAGAAGTACTGGATATCAGTAGGCCGCACTGATTGGCCAGGTGGAACTGAAAGGGCCTGCGTGTTTTATGCGCGGAACATTAAAGGAAACAAGCCAGTAACAACTACACTTGCTTCAACAGAAGTACCATCAGTTAGTCTACGATGCCATTTACTGCAGCTCTCCAATAAGCTCGTGTAAACAGCTACGAAAAGATTCGCGTATGCGTACTGTTTGTCCTGTATATATTTACTTCAAACTCGTTACGATGCCTGCATCCGTACTAGTAGCATGCAAATGCCGGAAGTAGTTGAACGTGCCAGTTACCCCCTCATCGTTATTACGGCCCGACGGTAGCCAAACGGAGAATGATACCATCTCCCGCCCACAAGTGATCAATAATAATATCGTCGGCTAAGTTAATGATAATTACCATGACGGCAGCGCCAATGCTAGCTAATGTTATGATCAAAAGCACAGCCAAGCAAACAGATGGTACGCAGAATATCAGCTTGGACCTTCTGTACAGTTCTCTAATGTGAAATCTCGAGTTTTTTCAACAAATTCTGCTCAGTACATGGGTGCCTTGATACCAGAAAAAAAATATGATGTCATTTCAACTGTTACCACTCCGATGAATCCTACCGCTTTGTTTTGCTGCTGTGGTGGTTCGCCGTCACTCGGCCACAGTGTGCTACCCAAGTGGACAATGCCTGTATTGTTCGTGCACAGAGCGAGGTAACGATGGATCCCGTAGAAAGAGTTGTTAATCAATGACAAACAGTCAGCCAACCCGGGCAGATCATCATAATTATCACCGTTTGTGGCGCCATCTGTCGTCACGCTGCTGTAGTTGATGATTTTCCGTCAATTGTATAAATGTGTACGCATATATGATGTCTTTAGGGCCTCACGTCCAGTGCTTAAACCGTAAAGAATTCCGATAGCTGGATGCTTTCAGTACGGAATAAAACGTGTGCAGGCCCGGATCCTTAACCTGAGTGTCCCTAACAGCAGTGGACGAATACGTTACCTCTCGCGCCGGATATACATACATATATGTTAGTAAAATTGTCAATAAAAATAGTTAACTATAGCAGAAGTGGATCTGCTGGCGGGTGAAAACAAAACCGACTGCGGCTGTACGAAGGTTACTAACAGCATGAGATAGAAAATACAGAAATGACGAAAAGACGTTGACAACGGCATCATGGCAATGATATTGTTGCTCGACTACTCCTACTATGATTATTAAGATTCATCACGGACGAACATACATCGGTACAAACATACAATACAAACAAACTATACATCGGTAACTTTTAGTCAGTTGTCGCGCCAATGTTAATTTCATTTTCAAAAAATAGCACAAAACCATAACAGCAACAATCATTGAGAGGTAGGTCAAAATAGCTTGAGATCATTAAGAATAAATTGGAAAATCTACTCCCGTTTTCTAGTTAGAAATATCTTCACTTGCCGCGGATCTGAAAATAAATAGCAGTCGGTTCTTCCTGCAGAACCGATTTGACCCAGCGAGTCGGACAGGATAAATAATATGAAGCACCCTGTAAGGAGAAGTTCAGGATGAATAGGAGCAATGTTAAATAATTCCAAATCCAGACGGGTCAAAAACGGGAGTCGAAGGGGCAAAGAAGCGAACACAATGTGACTCCATCTGGGTTTTCGAACACTTTAGTTGGAATCGTATTAGGCGGTAGACCGAATCGTAAACGAACCCATTAAATGGCGATATTGATTCAAACGGAAAAGACAGCTGTACATCGATTTCAGCGTGGGAAATTACGGTAAATCGATTTTGAGCGCCTAACAAATAATAAAGAGAAGATATTAGAATTTTAAAAAAGTTTTCTCAATTTTATGTATGATATTCAACCAATTAGACATTACGTCAGATGGTTGGTTTCCAAAACCAAACGAAGCGTGCCTACGCTCGGATTCGGACCTATATCACCGTTCAGCAGACAACCATGTTACCCGCTACGGTAACACAAGGGCAACTATTTCAAAAATTGTAAAAATACAGTTTTGACCTGCGGTAAAATACTTTGTCTTTTGGTATCGTCTGCTGTTCTATGCAGAACTGTAAACAACAACAAGGTGTCTTCTTTGTTGTCGTTTTTGACAACATCAAATTAAAGTGTCAAAGTTTTTAACGAGATACAACAGAAAAGCACGATACTATGAGGCTGTATTGTTAAACCTATAAAAAAACATCGTTCGAATAAACACGACTGAATGGTATTGCCATTCAGTCGTGTTTATTCGAAATCCCCTTAGCAACAGATAGTGGTATTTCTGTCCCTGATATATCCAACTATAATTAAATATGGCGATATACTTAACCAATAAGCGTTTCGAATTACCCAGGCTATCATAGACTTGCCGTTCTATAGATTTTTATTGGGGCGCACATCCCTCACAGGTCCCACATAACAGAAATCCGTGTCTTCTGCATTAGTTGTACGTCACGCACTGCATTTGTGACTATAAAACAATAGTTTTTGTAGCAGAGAGTTTGCAAGCCACCTGCAAAATGTCGAACTACCCTATTCTTCATCAAAACGTAACTCTAATTTACCCGTCACTGGCTTGGACAACACGTCTACGTTGCAACATCCTCGAACTAATAATAGCGGTGCGTTACTTACTGTATGTTTTATAGTTTTTTTTTTTTTTTTTAAATAATACCAAACAACAAATTACAAATGATTAATAGCTTTACGTTGTTTGAAGTCCTTGCATTTTGATAAGTCGATATAGCATCATTTTATAGTAGGTGTCACCTACAATGTTCAACTTACCGGGCACAATAATGAGGAAAGCTATGAAGAGCGTTGCAAACGCAATGCAGATGAAGAGCTCGGGCGTATCGACCGTTACGTGAGTTCGGTTTGGATCTGCGTGAAGTGCGGGCCCCCCGTCGTCCCGCCACGCGTCGAACCAACCCGCGGTCATTCTCTGAAATCAGAGATTAAGGTATATGGGGAAAAAATTATAGCAAAACGTTAGTGATAGGTTTCAAAACGATACTCGATTGAAGTTGCGGTCTCTGTTGTGTTGGTTAACGTGCATGTACGTTTTCAAATTAGGTTCGGATACGCGTAATAACAATGTGGAACACTTAGGCTTTTTAAATCTTCTAATTCTTGAGTTAGAAGAAAAAATAATTTAATCTGGATAATAATTATACGGCAAAATGTTTTACTTTTATGAATGATTAGATATCTATTAAAATCTATTGTGTGGGTAAACGGGCGCATCTACACTTACACTAGGCCAAATTTAAATAGTAATGTAGTTGGACATTTGAATTTCTCGGAGTTTGAAAAAGTATCTTATTTAACCGGGAAACTACATAAGCTAATGTTGTTTGTTTTTGCTTTTTAATTACTATTAAGAAAACTAACGGAAAAAGAAAAATGTTCTTGAAAATAATGTTTCAGATACTTTGACAATGGTGCCCTAAGAGGGCCAACGGATATTTTCATTCAGAGACGTCAGCCTGTGATATTGTTGCCGTATAGTATTATTGCAAGACTTTATCTGTAAATTGATTTGTCAGCATTTTTTTATCAGCTCACAATTCTAGACAATTTTGTGACAATTTGTTTTCTATTGATAGCAGATATAAGGCTGTTTCGTACTAATAAAGTATAATGCGATGAAATAGCAGAGCCTGTGCAGTCACTTCTGCAGAATAAACGGCCATTTAAGGACCGCACAGTACACGATATGTTACCGCTACGGATCAGGCCGGGCAATTAAGCGCCAACACGCGGGTAAACACAAGAGGTTGGGGGTAAAACACAAAAGACCCAAAAATGGCCGGCAGGCCTGTTTGCGCCTATCCGATAGTCGTGACACCGTGCTTGAACATCGCAAATATGGACGGCATCGTCAATACGTTTATAATAATGACCTAGACACAGTAATACATGACATCTTGTTAGAACGATGGCGAGACGCAAATAAGCGATGAATAGGAATGAACAGTTATATGTGTATTTGGTCTGTGATAATGGTATTCATTCACCGAATAGAAACGAGAATTATCCGAATTCCTAGTTCAGAATACGTTTCGTGTAAGTAAAGTTCAGCGAGGTAATTGCTTTTAGATGAATTGTCAGATTGTGCTTCAAACAGAAAGTTAGCGAACATTGAAGTACTGAGACGTTACTGTGAGTCGGCACGTGCCTTTAAACTTTCTACTCTGTCTATTGATTTTCTAAATTTGGTATGTTTCGCGTATGGTAGCGGAGCTCCTATTATGTTGTCGTAGTGAATTTGGCGCTTTTATTTCGGATCGAGAGAGCCAACAGGGCCGATGCTTCCAAGCCAATAACATATTGCATGGTGGGTGCGATTAAATGAAGAGGCTATAATAAAAGGATTCTGTCTCATCGGCAAATCATGTGTCTGTGTTTCGACCATCAGAGAATAATCTATGAGTTTTCAAAAAAATCAGAATAGCTTGCTTGGCCTGCCTATTAACAGCTGAGTATGCATGAGTTATAAACTAGTTCATCACGAGGTGCGGCGGAACCAACTGCAGCGCTCCCTTTATGGGAAGAAGGGAAACAGGTCTAGTTGTTCTGCACGCTTTTTTAAGGCGAGCTTTACTTTGGATACATTTTGAAAATTTGGGCTTGTATTGAAATTAATCTACTGCGCTATTATGCAAGAAGCAACTCCCATTTCTGGCAACGTCGACCCTGTCATGCGCACGACAGCCATTGAAATCAACCCGCAAATAAGATTGACTCCTTTAGCGTAAATGTCAAATCTATACGCAGGTATACGCAGCACTACAGCAGCAGCAGCAGTAGCTGCTTCGACAATTGCACAAGCAGGCGACGTTAGGTCGTCTCTTCGACAGGACTGCGTACCCCTCTCCCCCCATCATTGTGTATGTTGTTGGGGAAGAAATTGTTTTCACGCAGATTTTCGCAGTTGGACTTGGCTAGGAACTGGTGGACACACGCCAGCATTTGCGACCCATCAGACGACCATTACCCAACCGCTAACCCAAAGCTACTACATCGCAGGCAGTATAGATTCCGATAATCCATGAACGACAGTTGACTGACCGGACGAACAAATAGCAAACCGAAGGGGCTTCCACAAGGCAAGCTCGTTTACGATGCCTCGGTTCTAGTCTGTTCTGTGGCAGCTCCAACACATTTCACGGTACCGTGCTGAGCCGGCGGCGTGAAGCAGCATATCTTCGCGACTATACCGGTAGACTCTTCGACTATTACACACCGTTCAGATGCCGGGTATCGTATCTGCTGCCGACATCTGCTGAGAAGGGTACTGGTATCCTTCAACGTTCGGGGTCACTAGTTCCAGAAGCAGCCGCAGCTGGCCCAGCTGTTATGACGGTAGGACCAACTGCAGTAACTTTATCAACAACAGTAACAGCTCGTCCTACGCGGTTGTTCCGTGTGGTGTTCTTCTATAGGCGCACACGGGCATATAAGACTGTAACGGCTTATGTAGAATTCCCCCAGACCAAGAACTCGCCCCAAGATGAGATACACAGAAGTGCCAGCTAGCTGACGCTTCTATGCCGCTGCTGGTGACGGTTAACATTGAAATCTGCGTGCGGTCGATCGATATTGATTAGAAACTTTCTGCTTAACCTAGTAGAATGAAGCAGACTTTTTTCAAGGCGTCATTTCGTCGACACCGAAGTTGTTCGTTGTTTTTACGCAGTGCCAATTGCTAGAAGTAAGGTTAAGCGCTACCATAATGCAAAGCTAGTTTTAAACATACAACGATTTATCACAAGAATACTGGATAGCTTGTCTGTCGGATGATTTGTATGAATTTTCAAGATGTGCACAAGGTTTTCCATACGAAATTGCGTTCAATATGCACCGTTGTAGCCCTAAATAACAACGTTCATGACTGAGTATTTCGAACTTCGAACGTCCATCACCACTGCTACGCAGTCCATCAGACGGCTAGCTGCTGCTTTTAATCCGAAACGAAGCGTGCCTACGCCCGGAGACGAACCTAGATCATCATGTGTCATAAGCAGGACGCTGATGCTGATTCTAAACATTTTATCGCTTGTAATTAAAAAAAGGAGATGTCTGGCGATAGTCAGTTGCAGCAGAGAACATCAAAAATATTACAAGAGAAAAATTAAGAAGCATACAATTCTGTTGTCTAGCACTCAAGGGACTGGACTGTGAGGGCATTGAATTGACTGAGTCGTGCGCTATAAATAAAATTTCGTACTGTTGTTAGATAAAAACCGGCTTGATCGACGGGCCCCTTTAAGTCTATCCCTAAAATGTGGATTGAATTAATAGTTTGACCATACTTGGATTTTATTCTAATCGAAATAAGTGTCCTTACCCCGTTCCAGATATCTGCACCATTTTAGCATTGAGCTAATAAGTAGAGAGATTATTTCACGATAGCAAATAGATCTTAACGAACATCTATAATTTCAACAACTTCTTTTATGGAGGGTGGCCATCCAGTATTGAAGTTTCGGCATTGGTTTCGACGAAAGAGACCTCACAGTAATCCGTATATAGTGAAAAGGATAAAAGGGTTGACGCCAAAAGGACAATGCGTGTAACGTAATATGCTGTTGATTTATCTTGTTATTGGCCTTCAGCTGGTCACCCCAATCTGTATCGATATAGTACTCTACACCCATTAACACAGCTGGCTCCTTTGTAGAGTCTCTAGGGTCACACTTCACCAAGAAGACACTTATGTGCTTAGAATCACTTCGAAAATATCCGATTTGCTATAAATAACTAGCAATTGTTGTTCGAAACCAACATGGTAGGTACACAATTATCCGACGAGCGAGTATGTTCACACAAAACCTCACTCACTATACACAAAATACAGCTGAAACATATTTTGTCCACCCACGAAGCACTTAGCAGAAAATGTCCATTTGTAGTGACTTCAATGAATCCGTCTGCTACTAACAGCGGTAGTCAAAATTTGAGTAACTTTTCAACTTCCTGCCCATCTAATAGATAGGCAACGGGTGTTCATAAAAACCTGCCAAACATTCCTTCAAAACACAAAGGAACGTCCTATAAATTCGGGTTTTTTCCTTGAAGCGATTCACAAGCTGATTCAGAGGACAAATAACACAATGCCAATCGTTTCACGCTGGTCTTTTTAGGGTTAAGTTAGAGCCTGCTATAAAAGCGAACGTCACTAGCCAGAAGAACAAAATAAAGAGTTTACATTAGTAAACGGCGTTAAGTTACGAGACGCGAAATTGCCGATGTCAAGTTGCGCTGGCGCCGCGTCAGAATGGCGGATCTGCAAAGAGTCGCAGAACTGCTGTGCGTGGCGCTGCTTGCGGAGGGCTGTAACGGCGGTGTCCGGATCAGGGCAACCCTCGCCCTATGGGGCCGCAGCTCCACCAAGGATCTTCACTTGACAGCTGACATTGCCGGTGACTGTTGCCTTTTGGCAGGGTCTGTATTAGTCTCCCACATCGCGCAAACCAACGGGTAAATCAACCATTGAGTAGGAACGGAAAAATTCTTTCTTAGCACACCGACAAGTCTACGCATTGAAAGAGCTCCTTAATTGACCACCGTGTAAATGCATCTTTTATTTCGCATCTTTGAGTAAATGGAGAGGGTAGGTGACTAATGCTACAAACATTCATCAATGTCTTGGGGTTTGTGACTACACAAAAATTATTATTTAGTACACTGTAGGCTACAGAACAACGTTTACGCCCATTGTGGTGCCACTAGAAGACCGTCGATTCGGCTTATTTTGGCCGGGTTTCCGCAATAGAACGGGCTGGGTCAACTCTGCATTGACAACTGCTAGAAAAAAACGGAATCACTGAAACCAAAGATTGCAGTCACTGTTGAAAGCAACGTTGTAACTCCAGCACCAGGTCGGTCAATCAGACTATGTATGTAAACACAGGAACTTGATTTGGGGGTAGCAAATAGCATTTTAGCGTTCTGTGCCCAGTATATTTATAGCCTGCACGTGTTTACATCATTACCAACGAAAACGATACATTAACATATCAAATCGTTAACTCTTCGTCAGCGCGTGCACTTCATCGAACCCTACATTCAGAAAATTGAGGTCCATCAGAACGGGATCACAACAACAGCCAAAGAATCTACAACTGTGTGGCATTACCGATGTTATTCACCGTTGCTTTTCAAGATCCGGAGTTCTATGATTACCACTGTAGAGCTTCAATATAATCGTCTGGCTAGAGGCACTGTTGGAACGCCGACAGGCATAAATTCTGGGCTCTTCTAATGGAACGCCAGTCTTCGGTTTCGTTCGAGGCGGAGGCACGAGTCCACCAATGCGATACACACAGATCTCTTAGAGGTATTTAGAGGCGCTAATAAACAAACCCAGTTAGCTCCGGTCACGTTGTTACACGGTGTGAATACTAGTAAAAAGATACTGCCGATCGCGTTCCATGCTTAGGTTGCGATTACCATGTTTTTATTATAGAAAGTCAGGCGCGTCCCCGCAACATAGGAACATAATCATGTGCCGGTTGAAGTTCTCCTTCATTCGCTATGTAGCAAGAGAGTAATAGTTCCTGTATAGATTCAGGGTGAGGCAGAAGTGTCTGGACAATAGATGAAAAACGGTCTTTTGACAGTATAAGAAAAAGTCTTAAGAAGGAAACTTGGAAAGGCTCAACACGAACTTCAAGTCCCATGCTTTTTAGCTCATTTTTTAAATCTGCTAGGTACTCGTGTCATGAACACCGTGGTCAGCTTATTCGACGTATAGCCAATCCCTGGATTCCGGCGTCCGTACGATTCGTAACGGGAATGAGTATGCACAACCGGGGTCTGTAATAGACTACTTCTGATCCATACGCTGGCAGTCGCTGCCGCAAAGAACAACGCACTGGGCGACAATCCAAGGTCAAGGTCGAACTGGGCTGGCGGGTTCATTTCTTCTAGGTAATCGGATCCCAGTCCAACACAGACCGATGCAGCTGCTACAAGAATAGTAGGACGTAAAATTATTTTACTGCTTTAGATACGATGCAATGGCGTGTCTGCATAAAGAAACGCACCGGTGCATAGCTATTTGCGTATGGGCAACGTGATCCGGGGTCATGGCTTACATCCGTTGGGGAACCAATGATTTACTTTCTAAAAATACTCCTTTTGTTTACGTACCTAACCTGGGTGACCCAGTTACAAGTAGACGAAACGAATTAAATGGCAACGAATGGGCGCAATTATATAGGACAATGATTCTGAGGAATTAGTGATTGGTAAAAATTAGAGTTTAAAAAAAAAAAAAACTCTAATTTTTCTGATATCTTTAACATGTCGTTAATGCGGGTATAATGAAAGAAAAACATCTCTCTTTAATTACACAGGCTGTATAGTGTCTATTATTTTTAGCAGCTCCTATTCTCTTGCAACCAGAAGCATAACTCTCCAAGCCACCGCGTCGACGTTTAATGGCATTAAGGGAAATAAAAGCCTTATTTCACTTTTTTAAAACCTAAGTAAACGGCGCAATAATAAAGTTGCAGTTAACGAGGACTTCAAATCTCGCACAATTCCTTACGTTTGTGTCTTTGTTGGAACCACTTGGGTGTAATGCAGTAACCTGCACGAATACCCCAGGCAAGTTGCGTTCCGAAGAAGTTATCGGATAAAGTTGAAGAGAATACGGCGCAGTCAGTTGGTAAATATATATATATGACTGTGAGATACGACAGGTGTCGTTGTCTTCTGCCAAGTTGGGATGGCCTGTCGATTATATCTATACGGCAATAACGCCTGTACTTTTATAGCGTGGAGCATGGCTTCAGTAAATGAGTACTCGAAAGTGATTGGAAAGATAGTGCAAAATCGCCCTAATCTTACCGTACCGTTGGTTTGCCCTATAGATTTACTCGTAATCTTATCAGTAATGTCGTTCCGTACCAGCAGTGCTCATTACGTTAGTATCACCAATAGCAAATCAAGTGGAAATTCAGACTTTGACCTGCATAAAAAATAAGGACCTACATTACCGTTGGCAACAAATATTGACAGCCATTGCATAGTACACTCGATTGCATAAGATTTTTCATAATCCAAACACCTCGCCTCAGTAACAATTAGAAAAGTAACGAACCACTTACTTCCTGTTCCTTCTCCGGTAAAAGTGGAAGATCTATGCATTTGCCCATAAATTAGTTTGTATCAGACGTTTTTCTGTCTGAACACCGACCACGTCTATATATATATATGTATGTGGGATTGTTCAAAAAATATTAACCATCTGAAAGCCCAAATTTGACCAGATAATCGTTGTATTTTAAAATAACATTATCAAAATAAACATGGCCGTTTTGGTCGAGGACGTTCTACCGTTTTTCTGGTAATATCGTAATCCCATTTTTGTGGAACTGTGACTTCTGGGCGAAAAATCATGGGGCAAATGATCTTTGCATCCCTTCATTGAAATTAAATGATTAGTTTTTTGAAAAAACTTTTTTGAAACGGATGATAATATGATGGTGCAAGATTGCGGCTATCCAGCGGACGCATTAAAATTTCCCATTCAAGTTCTTTCAGTTTTTGCCGGCTAGCCAAAGATGGATTTGGCATTGTCATGGTTAAAGACGATGCCTTTTCTGTCCGCGGGCTTTGGTCGAATTCTTGTTCGGTAACTTGTTGTAGTCTTGTTAATTGTTGATAGCAGAGGTCTAATCAATGGTTTTGCCAGGGGGTACCAAGTCGTAGCGCATAAACCGTTTCCAATTCCATTAAACACACAGCGTCACCTTATTTGGGGTCAATTTGGGCTTTTTAAAAGATTATAAAGTGCATAATTTTTTTCTTATACGATATTACCGTATGTAACTTACTTTTTATGAACCTCTTTAGAAATGGCTCGATTTTGCTACGTTTCTGTAGGCCTTTGTAGATAGAAATAAGATCAAGCGAACTATTTTGCATCAATCAGTGCGGCAGCTAAACATCGAATTTTTTTTTGACAGCAGCTTTCTTTATATGACTTAAAAGTGTTCGATGATGGATGTTTAGTTCCTTGGCCAAATCATGGTCACACACGCATCCAACCTTCGCAACAGTTCCATCAATTTTTTTTCCATGATTCGTTGGTAATTTCGAGGGGACTGGGAGAACCTTTCGTATTTAAATTTCTAGAGCGAAAGGGCAAGAACTACCTTGGGCGTTATTTCCAATAATACACCTTCATCACGAACAGCACGAATTTTCTTTATAGATCTGAACAGCATCTGTGCCTTTACTATAAAAAAAATATTTAATACAACGATTTTGTGGAGAAATTTAATTTATCTCCAGTGCACTTTATCTTAAGCCCAAATGCCGTATGTTACCTGAAATTTATCACTTTAAACCTGTCTCACTAGAAAAAAATTTATATATATATATATATATATAAATATACATTTATATACATACATATATTACTGTTTTGAATCGGTTGCAGGTTACTTTTCTTTATCAGATGTCGACTATTACATAACTTCCTCAGTCCAATTCTAACATATAAGAACATATAGGAAGAATACTGAAGGTACCAGCACAACATATGGCATATATATGACATGGTACGCTGCAGCGGCAAATTTCATATTATTAATAGAACTTTTCGACTGTAACCCACCTAAACAGGTCAAAAAACATACAAATCCACACGTTTTGAGCACATTTGCGCTGTCTCCGTGAGATGATACCTGCTTAAATGCTAATTGTAAATTGGCTGCCGATCACATGGGCGGCAGATGCATAATGGGTTGTAGTTTTAAAAAACGTATTCTATTTTTGCTAACCTAGACACGTTTTCTCCAGAGATGTCAACAGCTTGTTAACCGGTTCATCAGTTTCAGTCGAATTAGATACGGGTGAGCCTTCTAATGCAAGAATATACCAGGCGCTCCATTATTGAACCTTAAACGTGTTGAGCCGTAATAGTAAGTGACTGGAGTGATTTATTTCAAATAATGTTTAATTTTTCTCCGACCGATACGAGCAATTGCTCACTTACGCGTAAGGTATAGGGCTCATGTAGACGCGTTTATAGCTCAAACCACTGATAGTCAGCAGGTAGGTCCACTAATCTGCTTCATCGTGATGTCTTCGTAAACACTACACAATTTAAAATAGATAGAACGGCCGGATACGCTTATGTAATATCGTGTAATACAACACCGGGAGGCATGCACGCCGGGCCGGAGCTTGGTACGTTAATCCAATTCAGTGCATGAAAAACATCGGAAATGCGTAATG